TGGAGGGTTCTGAAGGGAAAGCGGTGTGCGCCCCCCCCCGTCATTTGTTTTTTTTTTAGTGGTAGGAGTAGGATATTCAGAGCGTCGATACGCTGAAGACTTCGGTTTCTTTTCTATATTTTTCTTTTGTTTGTTAGGCTAGATGACTTGGGGAGCTTTATGGGAATCATTTGGTTTTATTGTTTTCTTTGATTTGGGCGCCACTCAAGTTCCTTTTTTCCTATATTGTTTTTGTTAACCTTTGTTACCTCCATTGTTGTTAATTTTCTTTAGTATTATTTTTATTAAAAAAAAAACTGTAAATAGTGCATCACAAAGCCTTTTTCTTGTGGCTTCGGCTTCATGTAATAAATTGTCACTTGAGCTTCATTTATGTGTTTCCACCCAGCAATAATTTATTTTAAGTGTTATGATACAACTCCTAGATCTTAAAAGATCGTAACATTTAATGGGGGCTCGTCCGGGATCATTTTTTATGTCCAGGGACATTTATTATTGCTGGTGTTGACGGCGGAGTGACCATACACCTGGTTAGTGGTGCATCAGGGTATTTGTTTGGTCTTATGGTGATTGGTCGATGCAAGTATGGCAGACTTTGATTTAGAGGCGTTCATTAATGTACCTACTTTGGAGCAGCTCGATAAATGTCGAAAAGATGATTTAATTAGTATTGCGGCTCATTATCGAATTTCCGTTTCGAGGCAGCAGCTCAAGAGAGAGATTAAGAGCATTGTGTTGAAGAAACTGGTGGAGCTGGGTGTTCTGGTTTTGCCTGAAGCGAGTGAGGATGGTTCTCTTGCCTCTCACGCCTGCCCTGAGTTTGAGGAGGAGGAGCAGAGCGGAACTGCCGAGGTGGAGGGTTCTGAAGCCAAGGCTGTTCTGCCGCCCTTTGAACCTTTTTCTCCGGCCTCGGCTGGGTCTGGAGGTGATGCGCGACTGAAGGTCCGCTTGGCGCGAATGCAAATGGACGCGCGGGAGAGGGCAGAGGAACGTCAGGCAGAGAGATTATTGCATCTAAAAATTCGCAGATGGGAGATTGAGGCAGAGACGCAGATAAAGATGCGGGAATTGGAGTTAAATGCGGCCAGAAGTGCACCTGCTCCAGTTTTCCCGCCCCAGTCGACTGCTGTTGCTCTGTCAGAGGGCGCGGCGCTGGGTGCCAACTTTGATGTGGGTAAACATGTCTCTCTTGTGCCGCAGTTCCGAGAAGCGGAAGTTAATTCATATTTCGGTGTGTTTGAGCGTATCGCTTCTGCTCTAAAGTGGTCACGTGAAGTTTGGCCTCTGTTGTTACAGCGTAAGCTGACTGGTAAAGCTCAGGAGGTCTGCGCAACACTATCCTTAGAGGATAGTTTAAAGTACGACGTTGTTTAAAGCTGCGATCTTGCGTGCATATGAGTTAGTGCCAAAAGCTTACAGGCAGCGGTTTAGGACTCACAAAAAGAGTTCTAGCCAAACGTTTGTCGAATTTGCAAGAGAGAAGGGGGTCTTATTTGACAAATGGTGCGCGTCGAGTAAGGTAACTGATTTTAAGACACTGCGGGAATTAATCCTTTTTAGAAGAGTTTAAGAACTGTATACCAGAGCGCGTTGTCGTGTAATTAATTAAATGAACAGAAAGTGACATCCTTGTCTCCAGCCTCTGTTTTCGCGGACGAGTTTGTGTTGACACATAAGAATGTGTTTACTCCTGTTCGCTCTGATAAATCTGTGTCTGTTTCCGCTGCCTCGCCTAACCAGCCAACTATCCTTAGAGGATAGTTTAAAGTACGACGTTGTTAAAGCTGCGATCTTGCGTGCATATGAGTTAGTGCCAAAAGCTTACAGGCAGCGGTTTAGGACTCACAAAAAGAGTTCTAGCCAAACGTTTGTCGAATTTGCAAGAGAGAAGGGGGTCTTATTTGACAAATGGTGCGCGTCGAGTAAGGTAACTGATTTTAAGACACTGCGGGAATTAATCCTTTTTAGAAGAGTTTAAGAACTGTATACCAGAGCGCGTTGTCGTGTAATTAATTAAATGAACAGAAAGTGACATCCTTGTCTCCAGCCTCTGTTTTTGCGGACGAGTTTGTGTTGACACATAAGAATGTGTTTACTCCTGTTCGCTCTGATAAATCTGTGTCTGTTTCCGCTGCCTCGCCTAACCAGCCACATCCGAAATCAAGTCCGCCCAGGGCTAAAGAGGATAGGGAATGTTTTTATTGCCATAAGTCTGGCCATCTGATTGCTGACTGTCTTGTGTTGAAACGAAAACAGCAGGGCGTTACAACTAAAAGTGTCGGATTTGTGAAAACTGTAGATGCTGAAAAACTTGAGCCAGATAAGCCTGATTGCAGTTACGAACCTTTTTTAATGGAAGGGTTCATTTCTGTTTCGGGTAAAACCATAGAACAGGTAAGGGTTAAAATGCTCCGTGATACTGGCACAACCCAGTCCTTTGTAGTTGCAGGCGTACTGCCGTTCTCGGAGCAGACTTCTTGTGGCAGTAACATTCTGGTGCAGGGCATAGAGATGGGACTTGTTAAAGTTCCGCTACACCAAATCCATTTGCAGTCCGAGCTGTGTACGGGGTTTGTAAAAGTGGGCGTTCGTGATTGTTTACCTGTCAATGGAGTGGAGTTTATCCTAGGCAATGATCTAGCTGGTGGGAGGGTTTTTCCCATGTTGGAGGTGTTTGACAAACCTGTTTTGTCAGATCATACTGATGAGTTGTCAGAAATGTATCCTGAAACTTTTCTGGCTTGTGTTGTCACTCGGGCTCAGGCTCGAGAAATAGATGCGGATGATTTGTCTACATCCTTTATGGCGCCTATGTTTGTTGAAGGCATTTTTCCATCTGATGAAGAAAAAGTAATAAAAACTCCGCTCAATGCAAGTTCAAGTCACCTTAAGTTGCCCGTAACCCGTGAGAAAATTGTTTCTGCACAGAGGGAAGATTCGAGTCTGCGAAAGTGTTTCTCTGCTGCTGTTCCTGTTAGAAAATCTGCACATTTTGTTGAGGACGGGTTGCTGATGCGCAAGTGGTCTCCTATTATGGCAGATGGTCCTGAATGGAGTGTCGTGTACCAGGTTGTAATTCCTAAAGGTTACCGACAGCAAGTTCTGTCTCTTGCTCATGACCATGATCTGTCGGGCCATTTAGGAATTAAAAAAACATATCACAGAGTTTTGAGACATTTCTTTTGGCCCCATTTAAAAAGCTGATGTCGCTCAATTTTGCCGTACCTGCCGCATTTGTCAGCTAACGGGTAAACCAAATCAGACAATTCCAAGTGCGCCACTCGTTCCAATCCCAGTCGTAGGCGAGCCATGTTATTGTTGATTGTGTCGGCCCTTTGCCTAAAACCAAGAGTGGAAATCAGTTTTTCTTGACAGTAATGTGTAGCGCTACACGGTTTCCGGAGGCGATTCCTCTGAGGAAAATGTCGGCGTCCGTTGTTGTCAAAGCACTTGTGAAGTTTTTTTCTACGTTCAGTTTGCCGAAAGTGGTGCAAACAGATCAAGGCACAAATTTCCTTTCGAAACTTTTTTCACAAGTTTTGACAACTTTGAATATTTCCCACAGGATCGCAAGCGCCTATCACCCCGAGAGCCAGGGTGCACTCGAGCGTTTTCATCAAACGTTAAAGGAGATGCTCCGAAAGTACTGCCTGGATACGGGAAAGGATTGGGATGAGGGAGTACCATTGGTGTTGTTTGCGATAAGAGAAGCTGTGCAGGAAAGTCTTGGATTTAGCCCCGCTGATTTAGTGTTTGGTCACACTGTCAGAGGCCCACTGAAAATGCTTAAAGAGAATATGCTAGCGTTCGATTCCAGCTCTAAAGTTAATGTGTTGGATTACGTCAGTAAATTCCGCGAGCGTCTGCATAAAGCCTGTTCCATGGCGAAAGACTCGTTGGTGTCCGCACAGAAACGGATGAAATGCCATTTTGATCGTAAGTGTTAGTGTTGTTGCCGATCGTTGGTTCTGCTCTGTCAGCACGATTTTCAGGACCTTACGAAGTGCTGAGGAAGTTAAGTGACACTGATTACGTAATTCGCACTCCAGATAGGAAGCGAAAGTCCCGTGTGTGTCATATTAATATGTTAAAGGATTTTCATGACAGAGAGACTTTGCAGAAGGATGCTGCAGAGGCAGATGAGGATTCTGCCTCCACCTTGTTTCCGGTTACAACTTGTGGTGTCGCGAATCTCATTGATGCTGCTGATACTGTGGATGATGTGGGGTTACGTCATACTCAACAGTGTGCCAGATTGAAGAATTCGGAGATATTAGGTGATTTAAATTCTTATCTATCACACTTGTCTGATCAACAAAGATGTGATATTGTACAGCTGGTAAATGATTTCTCTACTCTGTTTAACGATGTGCCTTCCCGTACCACAGTCCTACAGCATGATATCAAGGTAGGTGACGCTGCTCCGATCAAGCAACACGCTTATCGCGTGAATAGCGCTAAACGGGCTGTTATGAATACTGAGGTCGATTATTTGCTTAAGCATGGATTTGCTAAACCTAGTTGTAGCCCATGGAGCTCACCCTGTTTATTAGTTCAGAAAGCGATGGAACTGCCAGATTTTGTACTGACTATCGTAAGGTAAATGCTGTTACCGTGCCAGACTGTTTCCCATTGCCACAAATGGAAGACTGCGTGGACAATCTTGGTTCAGCTCGATATGTCAGTAAATTAGATCTATTAAAAGGGTACTGGCAAGTGCCTCTTACGCCTCGCGCTTCTGACATCTCAGCTTTTGTAACACCCGACAACATCCTACAGTACTCAGTGATGGCATTCGGGATGCGTAACGCACCAGCAACTTTTCAGCGGCTTATTAATGTTGTTCTTGCAGGAGTCCCACAGTGTAATGCATATCTTGATGATTTGGCTGTGTATTCGACTGAGTGGTCGGAACATGTTTCTTTGCTACGCACTGTGTTTGATCGTCTTGCTAAAGCTTTGCTGACTTTAAATCTAGCGAAGTGCGAATTCGGCCAAGCAACTATTACGTACCTAGGCAAAGAAGTCGGTCAAGGTCAAGTGTGCCCGATTGAAGCGAAGGTGGCCGCTATAGCCGAATTTCCAGTTCCAACTACCCGCCGGGAACTCCGGAGATTTCTGGGTATGGCTGGCTACTATCGTAGCTTTTGTAGAAACTTTTCGACTATCGCACATCCTTTGACTTCATTGCTTAGTCCATCCTGCTCTTTTATATGGTCTGAGGAATGTCAGTACACGTTTGAATCCATCAAAAATCTTCTGTGCAGCGCACCCATTTTGGCAGCCCCGAACAACTCGCTGGTTTATAAATTGGAAGTGGATGCGAGTGCGGTTGGTGCGGGGGCAGTACTACTTCAGGAAGATGAGGATGGTATTGATCATCCTATTTGTTATTTCTCATGCAAGTTCAATAAGCACCAGTTGAACTATTCGACTATTGAAAAGGAGGCTTTAGCATTGCTAATGGCTTTGCAATATTTTGATGTTTATGTGGGGTCCAGTAATCTTCCAGTTAGCGTTTTCACAGATCATAACCCTTTAGTGTTCCTGTCGCGAATGTATGATCAAAATCAACGCTTGATGCGATTGGCTTTGATTGTACAGGGTTATAATCTGGTTATCAAGCACAAGAAGGGTGTGGACAACATTGTAGCGGATGCCCTGTCAAGAGTTTAAGGCATTGATGTAGCAAACTTATATTTGAGATTCCATATAGTTCGCTTTTAAGGGTGGAGGTGTTACGTGCTATGCGTATGTGTTTCTTCCTTCCCTCCCTCTCGTCTTTTTTCTGCTGCCTCGCTCATAGGTTCCTGATTGGACCTGTCGGCTGCCAGTCATAATTGTGACGTCACCCTCTGCGCCCAATCTGCTGTTGCCCTGCCGGTTTAAAAGGTCCTCCCGCGAGCCTCGTGGGGCGGCGGTGTGTTTGCGTGTGTGTGTGTTTTGGTTTGCTGAGATTAGTTTTGGTATCTTACTCTTTAATTCTGTGTGTCTAGCATTTGCTGTGTATTTGAGGTACGGTTAGTTTATTCCTTAATTAGGGAAAAAGGAACAGGTAAGCATATCGCGAGATATACACTTTGCACGTAGTAACAATGAGTGTCTAGACACATTAGGAAAGCGGTGTGCGCCCCCCCTGTAATTTGGTTTTTAGTGGTAAGAGTAGGACATTTAGAGCGTCGATACGCTGAAGACTTCGGTTTCTTTACTATATTCTTCTTTAGTTAGTTAGGCTAGAGGACTTGGGGAGCTTTATGGGAATCATTTGGTTTTATTGTTTTCTTTGATTTGGGCGCCACTCAAGTTCCTTTTATCCTATATTGTTTTTGTTAACCTTCGTTACCTCCATTGTTGTTAATTTTCTTTAGTATTATTTTTATTAACCCTCTGGGGTCCGAGGGTGTTTTGGGGCCTGGAAAAGTTTTGACATGCCCTGACATTTGTGCTTTTTTCAGTTGCTTACAAACATTTGAATGTCTAAAGTTTAATAACACTGTAATCAGCACAAACTGGGCTACAATAATATGTTATGTACGGTCAAGTATGAAGGAGCATTTTAGTTCTTTTCGCTGTCATCATTCAAATCTGCAAAAAGTTCCGCTGGCGGAACTGTCGACCCCAGGAGGTTAAAAAAAAACTGTAAATAGTGCATCACAAAGCCTTTTTCTTGTGGCTTTGGCTTCATGTAATAAATTGTCACTTGAGCTTCATTTATATGTTTATGGTCACTTTTCTGCCTGTTTCAATCCACCCAGCAATAATTTATTTTAAGTGTTATGATACAACTCCTAGACTTTTAAAGATCGTAACAGGAGATAACGACAAGGCGTTGACAGGAAATCCACCCAGACCACTGGCGTCATGTGATGGTGTGATAAGTTTAGACCTCATGATGGTTGAGGGTCCATCACTGACTGAATCCTGGTGCAGGGCTTAGGTAATTTGGGATAACTGGGTTAGGAACACGTGAGACGACGTAGGGGTGCATTGTATAGGATTATCTAGAATTGGGTCGTTTTGATTGCTCTAATTGTCAGAGGTTCGACGA